ACTGTTCAGGGCGCCATAGATTGGAAGCTGAATTATCCACAATGGCTGGCAAAGTCCAGAAGCCCCGGCATGAGGCCCAGGTCTCTTTGCTTTGGCGAAAACTGACCTCAGGACTGCCTGAAACCAGAAACCTTAGGCAAAGCCCACTGGTGGTTGCTCAGCAAAGCAATCACAATAGGATTTGTCATCTTAGTACTCCTTAAAGCCAGGGGGTGTCAGCCTTCCCTGGAGTAGAAAGAGAGTTTGTCAGAATCGGGGCATAATTTTCTGCTGATAAAGCCATCTGCCACTATAGAGAAGGTCTGAGAGCGTCACCTTGGGTGCTGGCCTGTACTGTTACATTTTTGACACTGGATCTTTGGCCACCTCAAAGTTTCCTTTCCACAGCCAGCTGTCAATATGCAGATTCCATGCACCACATGTAGGGTGTCTAGATGTGTGCACTTAGCTGCTTGGAGCCACCCTATCCTGTAGGAGGACTCTGCACTGGCTGGCACTAGCATAACCAGACAGCTTCAGGCTCTGTAGCCAGGGGGCATGTAGGAATTTGTGCAGCAGGCTTGGCCCCTGCTCCAGCTTTTCCATGTTAGTTGCAAATGTGTCTGTCAGTGTATCTGGCCCTAGAGCTGACCACATTGCTAAGTTTTCACTTGGGAGGAGACATTTAATAGGAGAAAATAATCCCTTAGTGATGACATTGCCCTGTTTAAAAGTGGGACCAGTTCCGATAAATTCCATTTCAGGTTATTTTTATACCCACATAAACAACAGACTGTACTTCCATTGTGATGGCATCACAAGATGATATGACTTTATGGGACCACCACCCTATGTACTGCCCCCTGCTGACCCAGGCACAGAAATGATTGGAACCCAGCTCCTGACCTCCCAGAAGGGACACACTTTCCGATTCCACTTCAAAATAGGTGGATCACTGCCCAGACTGTGTTGACATAGTCTATAATCCCCACACCACAGACCTAAATTAGCTAGAGACCTAGTTCAGGAGGGTAGGAGTCTTCAATTCTTTTCTGCTAGTGAACAACAAGGAATGTGTGTATTTAACAAGAAGACATTGTCTATGCATTCATTCATTCATTCCACATGTATTTCTTGTGTGCTCTGCTTACCATGTACAAGGCACTGTTCTCAGTATTGCCACACACTCCAAGCCATAAAAGTGACTTGCCTATGAGAACCTGATGTTCATGTGTGGACTACAAACAGCGAACATGAATTAATGAATGATGAGGCAGTAGGTAGGAAAATGGGAAAGAAGGGCAAGAAGGACACAGAGAAGTAGAGGGGGTGCATATTTGACAATGGACAGCAGGTTTCTGCCCCAAGTATTTTTCAGATTTTTGATATTGGTGCAGGTCTTAATTAAGACTGATTATTTTTTTCTTCAAAATGGGGGTCATGCTGGTCCCTATGCTGGACTGACTCAAACGTTTCACTTCAGCTCCAAGGCTCTCTATTCTTTGAACATCCAAGGCAGAGAGTTGCTCTTGGCCTTGGCCTTTCCTGTCTTGATACTTCATTCTCAAAACACTGGCTTTAATTCAGGCTTATGTGAGGGAGATGTCTCCTGCAGCCCAGCACCTTCCTGGTGCATTTACTAGATTGTGTGGGAAATGGGCCCTGGCTGTGCTTTGTGCGGACTTAGGGGCCAGAGAAAGGATTTCCACATATTTAGAGGAACAAGAAGGTTGATAGGAGGAAGTCTGTGTTTTTTGTGTCTCATTCCATTGACTGGGTCACACATTGACTGACGATGCCTGTGCATGGCATGGTCATTCATTACTCCGTGAACTTGGGAGTGAGAATACTGCACAGGCTGACTATGGAACAGCCTCCCTGTCCAGAACTCTTCAGTTTTCATCTATGCAAAGGCTGAATGGTTGGCTGAATTGCTGGGCTTTGACACAAGATATGCTTGTAGGAGCATCTGTGTTTGAAGTTCAGCCTCCCCTACCCTCAAGGTCTGCTCAGCATCCCCCACCCCTGAGGTCTACTGCATCTCAGAAAAAAAAATGGGCTGCCAAGCCCTTCCTCAAGCTTCAACTTCAAAACACTTAGTTACCAAAGAATCTGGTGACTACCCAGGAACTTTCATACACCTGCTGTGTCCTGGCAGCTAGAATAAAATAATAGAAGGAAAGGTGACAAGAAGTTGATGGTAAATGTAGCCATAGCCCTGAGTGGACTTAAAAAGCAATTATTCTCAACAGTTACAGAATAGCTTTCTGAGACAAGTGTAGGTTGGAAACTTTAAGACATATTTTAGTGGTGCTTCAGATGTCTTACATCAGTTCCTGGAACTTAATGGGGTCGCCTCCTTTTTATGCACTGTCCCAACTAGTTTTGTGTCAGCTTGACACAAGCTAGAGTCATCTGAAAGGAGAGAACCTCGGTTGAGAAAATGCCTATATAAGATCCAGCTATAAGGTATTTTCTTAATTAGTGATCAATAAAGGAAGGTTCAACCCACTGTGGGTGGTATCATCCCTGGGCTGGTGGTCCTGGGTTCTATTAAAAAACAAAACAAAACAAAAAAACAGGCTGAGCAAGCCATATCGAGCAAGCCAGTAAGCAGCACTCCTCCATGGCCTCTGCATCAGTTCCTGTCTCCAGGTCCCTGCCCTATTTGAGTTCCTGTCCTGATTTCCCTCAGTGATGGAATGTTACCTGGAAGTGTAAGCTAAAACACACTGTTTTCCTCCCCAATTTGTTTTGGTTGTGGTGTTTCATTGCAGCAATAGTAACCCTAAATAGTAACCTTACATTCATCACTTTGAATCCCACTTTCTGTGCTTTCCCTGTTGAATGGCCTCCACCCCTTACATCCTCTGTGCTTTCCACACAGCAGCTGGAATGCATGAGTCTTCACACTGCTTTCTCTGTGTCACTATACACTGGGAACCTCCTTTGGCCCTATTGTTTGAATTATGAAGGCCACAAAGATGCTAGCTTAGCTCCCACAGGTCCTGAATGGTCACTCAACCCTCCCTTCCTGGACCTTTTTTCTCTCCCTCCACATCCCTATATGTCAGCCGTGCACACAGCATCATACCACCCGCCTCTGTTCCTCACTGAGAGGGTCACTGTCTCCCCTTCAGCTAGGTCTCCTTCAAGTCCCACCCCCCCTTAATGTTACTTACCTTTTCCTTCTTCATCTCCAATAAGCCATTGACATCTCAACCATGTCTTTGGCATATGACGACAATACCTGACTGTCTTAGGGACTGTGTCTTGTCTAAATTTAAGGACCTCGTTTTATTTGGCTGGCTTCCCCAGCACTTCGTGTACATAACATAGTACAGAAAGTTGGTCCCAAATCAGTGACAGGAGGCCAAGCTAGCAACCTGTTCTTGACCAAAGAAAAACTTAACTGACTCCCCTCCTTGCCTGTGGCTTATCTTAAAGCTATATGCACTCCATGGCCCTCCACAGACCCCCCTCAAAAAGTGTCCATAAAGTCACCAGCCTCCTTCCAAGCTCATACCCATGGGTGGTTGGCTTACCATTTGCTTCTTTTTAAGCGAGAAGAATCTGTTTTCAGGAAATAAAGGAAAAATAGGTCAAAATGAAAACAGACAACTTAAGGAAGTTGAGTTGTGTCTCCTTGTCCTGTTCCCTGCCTCCCTCTCCAGCCACACTGCCCCCCTCGTTCTCTGTTTTGCTTTTTGTGCCAATTGCTAAAGACTATAATTTTAAAAACTGAACTGACTTTTCCAGAGCCATGAGGAATGTGCATGTGCACATGGATTTTTCCACAAGGACACTTCCTGTCTTTGGGTTCCTCTTTGCCAGTAATAGTGAAGCCGTGCAATCATATGCTTACATATATCCTTACATTCATCCATCTATCCATCCATGCATCCATTCTCCCAGCCCTTATTGTAATTTGTTTGAGAGGCTCAGGACAGGCCAAAGGGGATGGTTTGTATTTCACACAGTCAGATGGTTGTTTGATGAGGTTTGTGTGCCATTTATTTGGATGGTTTTTATGGTCCCTTTGTTGTTCAGGGAAAGACTTTGGGAGTCATAATTCTGTATCCTTTGCCCTTCTGAGAGGCCTGTGCCATGTCTCAATGGTACTCACACAATGAGAAAGGAAATGAGGACAATTTCTATTCAGTTACTTAAGCAGTTTCTGAACATGGTTGTGGAATGAGAAAAGTTGAGTATCACAAAGTTCAGGGTCCGGATAGTACCAGCCTCTCCTACCTGGAACATCACTGTCTGTCTGCTCATTCCCTGCTCAACCCTAGTTCTAACCATCCCTTTGGTCTTTCCTATTTCTGTGTGGTTATCAGACCCAGGCCCCTTTTTTGCCTATGGAAGTGTCTGAGAGGCCTTGGACAGCCTTCAGTGTGAGCACACCTCTGAGGGTCATTCCATAGCACTTGTACCATGAGGTGATGCTGGAGTTGGCCTTGCAAGAACATCATGGCCCTGGACTTTGAGATGCTCTGCCCAGGAGATCTTTCATCTGGACACCTCTCCTCAGCTCTTCATCCTTGCTAGTCATGTTTGAATAGGGTTTTTTTTTCCCTTACTTTATGGTAGTTTATATTTTTAGAAAATCTTATAAGGTAGCTTACAGATATTAACATAACCCCATAAGGTAGATAATTCAAAAAAAATTTCTTTCTATAAAGATAAGGATCAGGGGTGTCTTGTGGTCCATTCCACACCTCACAATGAGTAAGGACAGGGACAGAACTTCAGCCAATCCTCCAAATTCAAGTTCAGGATTTGATCCTTCCTTCCTACTGCTTCAGCTCCCAGATAAGACAAATCTCAAAATTAGAGTTAATGTGTTTTCTGTCACCCTACCTCCCAGTCCTCAGAGAAGAGTATACTTCAGGAATTTGGTGGTGCTTAGCAAGTTATTGCTGAAATAAATTTATCCTCTTCTGATCACCAAGAGAACATCTTCATATAGCCTTCCTGCCAAACAAAGCTAAAGTGTTCTATTTGTTATTTCTCAACAGACCCTTCTTATGACTCAGTCAGGAGAGGAGGATGGAGCAATAATATGAATTCTGGCCTCAACAAAAGTAAGTAAATAGCAAACCAATCTTTGGGATAGAAATATTTTCAGGGAGCTAGAAGTTGAGAGGTGGGAATAGGCTTGTGAGACACACTCTAGGACCAAGCATTTGTCTCCACGCTGTCTGATTAGATATCAATATGAATTTGCAGGGGCTGTTCAGACTTTTGAGGCTTGTTTTGCTGCACTTGGTTTTGAACTTATAGAGTTTGAAGGTTTCTTGGGACAAATTGATTCATAAATGAAAAGTGCCTGGTCTGGATTTTGTTATTTCAGACAGGACAATGAATCTCTAGGACTTGGATTCTCTGCTTGACAAGGCTTAGTCATGCCAATGTTCCTAGCCCCAGTTAGAGAGACTGACACAAAGGATAATATATGCAGAGATGTTGTATGTCACAAATATCCATTTGTCCAACAATGATGAGGCGATGGCTTGTTGAAACCCACCCAGTATCTTCCATTTAGGGAGGAAATGAAAGAGAATGATTCACTCCTTAGCCAATGTTTCCATCTTACTATCTCCAAGAAGTAAACCTGCTGGGAAATGCAAGGGAGGTAAAGGAAGCTCTGTTCTTAATGAGGTTGTGACTGTACAAGCAATAGACTGGGTCTACCTCAGTTATGAGTGTGCATTATTCATTCATTCTGCATGCAGCATGTGGCTCTGTGGGACTCAGAAAGTTGAACTGGGCATGGACCTGATATTTAGGCATGGGAGAGAAATAATGTACAGACAAAATTATTTTCATCCGTGGTGGTAAGGAATGCTGTGCACCTGCTACCATTTGAGTTAGAGGGCAGGACAGGTTTCAGTCTAGGGAGCAGAAGACAGGTAAGCCTGGAGAAGGGGAGGTCAGAGAAGACCTTGGTGGTATGTCTGGCAGTGAGAACCCCAGATTCCTGGAGTTTAGGATGTGTGGTGGACCAAAGGTAAGAAAGGGATGGTGAACGATCCTGTGAAAACAGATCTCTATCTTTAGTGATAAGTAGTCAGTGACGTGATGAACAGTATAATGGGCCAGTGGGAAGAGAGAAATGTGAGGATAACAGTCATGCCAAGCCATAGACCACACAAAGAGCAGCGCACATTCAAAATGGAGAAGGCAGGAGGAAATGCAGAGGGCATATGTGAGATACCATGGAGGGACCCTCAGAAACACAGAATCACAAGAAACAGGTGACCCAGCTCAAACATCACTTTCTCAGGAGAGATGTCAGTAAAGTTATCTATTGTGTGAGGGGGGGATACATGTGTGCATTCTGGGGGGGCACACGTATTGGCATGTACCCATGCACACATATGGAGACCAACAGAAGACATTGGTCTATCACTCTGTCTTGTCCCCTTCAGACAGGTCTCTCACTAAACCTAGATGTCACCATTTCTCAGCTAGGCTGGCTGACCAGCAAGCCTCAGCAATGTGCTTGTCTCTGCCAGCACCAACCCATTCTGAGATCCATGTTACAAATGCATCAGCCACACCATGTTTTCTGAAATGAATTCTCAGAGTCTGCACTCATCCTGGTGCTTCTATAGCATGCATTGTTACCCACTCTTCCAGCTCAAGGTCCCCGTATCAGCAGGCATTGTTCAGTGTTGTCTCTCCTGTTAAAATATAAGCTCCTTGCTAAATCTTCTGCCTGGAGACCGATGCCAGCATAGCAATGTGGGGAGTATTCATAATAAAATGAATACATGAGTCAATGGGAGAGTGGGTAGATGACAGTTCTTGTGCCCTCCTTCTGGGGATGTGTGACAAGAACATTTTCCTGCCCCATGAAGAACAGTCCGCTTATGAACTTTGCTTTCTTCTCCACAGGTCCTCCCCTTGGAGGAGCACAGACCATGGGCAAGAACACTGAGCAACGGCCCCAGCCAGGTACCTGGCTCAGATTTGTAGCCTCTCCCTTGTGTGTAGACAGTTGTGGATTCCACAGTCAGTGCAGGAGTGAGACTGTGTATAGTTGGCTCTCCACATCTATGGGTTCTATGTCTGGGGATCTGTAGGTAGAAGTTTTTCTGTCCTGACCACCCGCTCCCTGTCCAGGTGTCTGCTTCCAAATTACCACACAAGGACTTAGTATTATTTATAAATACTCAGCCAATAGTGCAAGGTTATTAATAACTAGCTCTTGCAACTTAAATTAACCCATTTCTATCAATCTATGTACTGCCATGCGACTCATGGCTTTACCTGTCTTTTAGCATGTCTTGCTTCCTGAGAGGCTGTCTGGCATCCCAACTCCACCCTCCTCCTTCCCATCATTCCCAGCTTGGCTTTCCTGCCTAACTTCCTGCCCAGCTACAGGCCTGTCAGCTTCTTGTTAACCAATGAGAACAACACATAATCATAATGTAGAAAAGGATTGTTCCATAGCAGGGATCTAGGCAACCACAGACTGATAATACACAGGAAAGTGTCTGCATTTGTACTGAAGGGGACAGACTTGCTTTCTTTCATTATTCCTTCAACAATACAGTAAACTGTGTGCATAACATTTGCATCCTATTGGTAGTCTAGGGATAATTTAAAGGCCTGGATAGATATGCTTAGATTATATGCAAATACCTCATTGTCTGTAAAGAACTTGAATGAGCAGCCACAGATTTGAAGAGCCTTGATGGGTCTTAGAAGCTATTCCCTATGTATACCAAGGGGCATCTCTACTTCACACATTGTCTCTTCTACCTAAGAGAGTATCTGTGAATTAACCAGCAAGTACTGGACCCAGGAAACAGTTTGTTAAATATCAGACAGAAAGGGGACTTCAAGCTGAAATGGCCCAGTGTTATAGAAGAAGAAAGCAGAGGCCGAGGTGGGCGAAAGAAATTCTTAGAATACAAGCAGAGTTAGTTCCAGAGTCCCCACTCCTCGTCCAAGCCATTTACACTTCACTAAACCATACTTTGGAGATGTCCTTACCTAGTAATGGATCATCTTAAAAGTTATGGCAGAAGAACTTTGAAGCCATGAACCTAGAAATCCTTAATGCTGAAATGATGAGAGACTGCGATCTCTAACACCCTCTAGAGCATGAGCTTCTATGACAGACATGCCACCCCCGCCCCCAATCTCAGCCCTTGCTGGTACTTGGATGCTTACAACAAAGTTGATAACCCTACCTTGGCTCAATTCTTTTCCTAGCCAGCATCCTTGTTCAGTTTCCTTTCTGGCTGCTTTGTCTTCTGGGGAAAGGTCCCACAGCAGGGCCCTTCACAGATCTGAAGTCAGCCATTGTGCTCAACACCACTGTCTCTCATGTATGGTGTAGCTGAATTAAGATCTAAACAGCTATTTGCTTTGGGCTGGGCAAACATTCCACCCAAAATATAGAAAATGCATAAAAGGTAAAATTCAAGTGAAAACCAAGTCAGGTAGAACAGGAAAAAAATTCAGCATCATCTGCCCAAACTCAGTGTCATTTAAATAAATATTAAAAGTTAATAAAAAGGTGGTCTAAAAGGCTTTAATAGCTTTTCAAGTTAATTCAAAGTTTTAAGAAGAAGCTGTGTCAATTAGTTAATAATTACAGTTATAATTGGGGGAAAACATTGTTTTTAAAAAGTAGTGATTTCGTAGCTAAAATACAAATTCTGGTTAGTGTTGATATTTCTAAGCTTAAAATCACAGAATGTTTTGGTAGAAGGGAACTAAGGCCAGGGACCCAACCAATCCTTCTTAGCTGAGAAAACTTATACCCAGAGGTTGTCCAAAACATGATTAAGTGCATGACATAGCTGGAACTAGAACCCAGGCTGCCTGGTGGTTTTTATGGTCTATCAGAAAACTCAGTCATGTGTAATGTCTTCAGCATTAGAAAGAGGAGTAATGGCTAGTAATCACTGGGGGACCTCCTTTAAGCCCGTCTAATAAGTAATCCTTCAGTTTATTCAATGTGTGAATGAATTTGGCCAGCTCCTTTGCAAATGTTTGGGTGATTTTGTTTGTGGGGGAGGGCGGTAGTGAAAACATAATCTAAAACCAAATATGAAGAAATGGTGCTGTTACTATACTGTGTTGATTGGGCCATAGCTCTGAACAAGGTCTTTGATCATGTTTTCCTATGAACCTGAGATGAAAGTAGGATGTTGAGGTTTATTCTTGATGCTGTTGTCAAATTGTATGGTGAGGAGTGAAGCCAACTTCTTTTGTTGTTGTTTCCTTAGATCCTTATCAGATCCTGGGCCCAACCAGCAGCCGCCTAGCCAACCCTGGTGAGTTAACTTTGGACTGCAAGTCTTTCTTTCCAGAATGTTCCCTGTATCTATAGGGTCACAGAAACCTTAGTCTTAAGCCCTGTCTGGGGAATTTTACTAGCTTCCTTAGCCAAACATTCAGTTGTGCACAGACAACAGTCCAGGGCCTGCACTGTCCACTGACTGAAGGTGCATCTGGAGAACAAATGTATTCACACTGCATCTCTGCACAGAGGTTTACATTCGTGGTAAATGACCCACAGAGGAGTTGCAGTGAGGAAAGATGTTCTCAGTTACTCCTCATATAGGGCTCTTGAATAAATGTCCCCAAGTGTTTTGGTTTTGATTTTAGTGTTGTGGTTATCTGGTCTTTTCAAAAGAAGTATGTCCCTAAAGAGTTGCATATCAAGTGAACTCGACAATGTGTTAAGGATTTGCTATTAAAAATAACTCTTAAATGTATTCTTCTAAACCCAAACCATGGAGATTGAGAGGTAAAGGCAACAACAGCCAGGCCTACATGCCTGTTGCACCTGTAGCACTGCAGGAAACCCAACCTGTCTCGGCCTCCTCCCTGCTCTTTAGCACCAGACCACTCTTGCCAGAAGACAGAGAGGCCACCCAGCATCCCCTCCTGGTATTTTTACCACTGCCCACATTCTTCTGTTCAGGACTTAACACTAAAAACCATGTACTAGAATTCTGCTGGAGAACAGCCCAGCTTAGTGAACCCTAAGTCCATGAGGAGACTTCTCCCTGCAAGTCCCCAGAGTCACATCCAAGAGGTTCTGGGATGCTTGACACTTTTTAAGGGCAACAGGAAGTAGCTTGAGGGACTTCGGTACTAAGTAGAGGTTAAAGAATGACTCAGGTCTAAGTAGGAGAGAGTCCAAATCTTAGCAAAAGGATGGGGGGGGGTGTCGACTTCCCTGAGAGCATAACAGTTTAATGCGACAATGCCAACACTTTATTACCAAACACTGAGGCAATCTGTCTTAAGATCTAACCTTGCTTAATATGCTAATCCCTTCTACCAGCAGCAAGCAATAGAGTTAACAGTATTTATTTTACCTTTCAAATTAGCTGGGTAAGAGCATCCTAAATGATGATTTAGCAATTGAAGTGATGGGCATGCTAAGTACCCTCACTATGTACCATGCCAAAATATCACCCTGTGTCCTGGAAATATGCACAATTCTTATGTGTCTGTTTCTATTTCTAAAGCGAAGAAGGGTTGTCTCCATGATTCTGACATAAAAGGAAATAAAGGGTTTCTTAGAAAGGATAAAAATTGCCATGTTTAAGAACCAGGACTGAAACCATTTCCTCCTGTTTCCTCACTGCCTGCAGGAAGTGGGCAGATCCAGCTGTGGCAGTTCCTCCTGGAGCTACTGTCTGACAGTGCCAATGCCAGCTGTATCACCTGGGAGGGAACCAACGGGGAGTTCAAAATGACAGACCCTGATGAGGTGGCCAGACGCTGGGGAGAGCGGAAGAGCAAGCCCAATATGAATTATGACAAGCTGAGCCGGGCCCTCCGATACTACTATGATAAAAACATTATGACCAAAGTGCATGGCAAAAGGTATGCCTACAAATTTGACTTCCATGGCATTGCTCAGGCCCTGCAGCCACATCCAACTGAGTCATCCATGTACAAGTACCCTTCCGATATCTCCTACATGCCTTCCTACCATACCCATCAACAAAAGGTGAACTTTGTCCCTCCCCACCCATCCTCCATGCCTGTCACCTCCTCCAGCTTCTTCGGAGCAGCGTCACAATACTGGACCTCCCCCACTGCTGGGATCTACCCCAACCCCAGTGTCCCCCGCCATCCTAACACCCATGTGCCTTCACACTTAGGCAGCTACTACTAGAACTTAACATCAGTGGCCTTCTGGCTGAGGTTCCAGCTCTCGCTTTTCCTGGATACTCTGGACTCTAAAGGACATAAGCAGCCTTGAAGAGACAAGAAAACTGGACATTTTTTCTTTTGGATGAAACTTGTTGCATTTGTTCTTTTAAAAATGATTATTTTATGTCAAAAACATTTGCTTCCTCTACCTGAACAAAAAAAAAATTAATCATTCCATGGGCCAGTATACCAGTTTCGATTCTCAGCCTCCTATCACCTAATGAGTTAAATATTTAGGTTACTGGAATGGTTATACCATGGTTCTGAGAAAGAAGAATAAATTTTCTTTATATTTTTTATGACCAAAGCAGTTTCTTATCAGCACACGGGTCTCATCATTGTAGGATTCTATAGGATAATGAATCATGGACTTGACCAGTAATGGTCTGGTTTAATGAAAATCAAGGCAGGATGTTTATAATCTTATCTTAGGAGGACTTAATTCAGCGATGGCAACTGGAACACCGGCTGCAAAGCCAGTGAAGTTTTTTTTTTTGCCCAACTGGAATTTAAAAGAAAGATGTGTGTGTATGTGTGTATTTAAGAAGCCATGGGTATTGCAAAATCCCTCTCAATGGGCAGTATGCACTTGGCTGACCATTCTCCCCAGAAATAGTCAGAATATGAACTAAGAAGGCTTAACACAAACACAGACACTCCTGAAGGATGGAGAATTAAATAACTATTTTTTTCTAATGACAGTGGGTCCCAGTACTTTGAGAAGTCATAGGGACTTCTAAACTCAGACAGATTCGCAAGCGCTGTGCGTTTGTCAGACCACGGTCAACCAATCAGAAGGCAACTTACTGTATAAATTATGCAGAGTTATTTTCCTATATCTCACAGTATTAAAAAATGAATAATTAAAAATTAAAAAGAGTGAATAAACGAGTTGACCTCGGTCACAAATGCAGTTTTACTATCAAATCAATCATTGTTATTTTTTTAAATATAATTTGTACATCTTTTGTCAATCTGTACATTTGGGCTATTTGTACGTTTTTATAGCTGGTCTTTTTTTTAATAAGCATAATGTGACTATTGATGAAAAGAAACAGGGCGTTTAAAGTCACTGTGTTCTTAGGAAGAAAAGCCGTGGTACTGTTATTTAACAGGAATGTCAGAACAAAAGAAAAGATGCATTTAGATCTGCAATGCTTTAGAAATGTTTGTAAATAACAGGGCTGTGATAACCCGAACAGAACAAACTCCACCTCGTGGACACGAGGGCTTCTCCTGCTCCATATATGCAATATATTTTTAGACAGAAAAATATATATAATTTTGCAGGTAATCATGACTTTTTAAACTATATTAAGTGTTAAGCTGACAACTGTCCAATGAAGACTATGTTGTAAAATAATTTGACTTAAATAAATTGTGCCTTCTTCTTCTTCTCTCAGAACTGAAGACATTGTGTTCTTATTTACTGCCAGATCAAAGACTTTCCCACAGGGAATTGTCTTTATTATTGTTGGGGTACATGCGAGAGTGTGTGTGTGTGTGTCTACACAGGTGTGGAGATCAGAGGACAATTTTCTGAGCTGGTTCTCTCCTTCTACCTTGGTTTTTGAGGCAGAATTTCTCTTTGTATTTCTACCACCCTGTGAACTTCAGTCTAGCTGGTCCACAACTCTCCTGCCTCCCTCTCCCGTTATAGGTGCACACCTCCATGTCTGGCTTTTTCATATGGGTCCTAGGAATCAAGCTCAGGTCATCAGGCTTGCACATCTCACTTTTATCCCCTGAGGTCTCTCATTGGCCCCAAGGAAAGACTGCCTACTTGTTTCTTATACCATCGATAATTTTCCAAACACACATACTGGAGTACAGTATCAGTGAGGTTTCAAACAGTTGTTGATGACCTTTTCAACATTTTCTAAGCCATTTCTAAGGCTATGGTAAATTGTATACAAGGAACTACAGCAGCAGCCATCTCCAGCACCTTGCATGGTATGCTTGATTCTCTTCTACCCATAAGATGACCTGATGCTGCAGTGGAGAACAAGGATCTAGCTCCTTTTAAGTCCACAGTGTGGTTTTATGCAGACTTTCCAGCTCTATTTTCTATCCAATAGAGAAGCTTGCTTGAGATGGCTTCACTGGTAGTGAGCTTGCTCCTGTTTTATAATGAAGATAAATAAGACTAGAACAAGGATCTGATGCCCTTTTATGGCCTCTTCAGATACCTGCACACACAAAGCATACACTTACACAGACACATGTGCACACACACACAAACACACACACACACAAATAAAACTTGTATCTTTCCTGAAAGACTCTTTTTATTATCATTTTTGTCATTTTAGCTAACCTTGTATTATAACAACTAATTACATAGTGTTTCCCTTTGAATTTGGTATCATACACTATCGAGATGATTTAGGGAATATTAGGAGGATATTCACATAAATGCTGTGTCCTTTAAATAAGGGATTTGGGCAACCATGGATTTTTGTGTCTTCAAGTGGTCTGGTAATCCATCTCCCATGCTATCCAGGGAAAAATAAGATTAATTATTATGAGCAAAAGGACAAAATTTTAGAAGGTGTTGTAAAAATACATTAAAGCTGACATTCTATTTTATTCCTTTTTTATATTACATTGCCCCTGCTATCAACATTCAAAACAGAAACAGTGACCATTAATGAAATAAGTACATATAACTATATGCGTAAATGGATTTCCCAGTGCCTTTTAACAGAAAAGAATGAAGAATTGGCATTGATGGCCCAGGCATAGAAAAAGAAATGAGGAAAGCTAGGTGTGTTTATAAATAGTCAACTAGAAAGTCCTCATATCAGTTTGCAAATACACAATGTGTACAAATATTCAATGCACTCCTAGGGAAAACGAGGAGGCACGGCTGTAGGAACAGGATGCTCACACCGTCAGTTCATCCTTTTGAAAAAATTTATATATATATATATATACATATATATATGCACATATTTATTACATGCACACTGGTACCTAGAGATGCCAGAAGAGGGGATAGGACCCCTGACACTGGAGTTACAGAGAGTTATGAGCCACTGATATAGATACTGGAAAGTATACCTGTGTCTTCTGTGAGAGCAAGAGGTTTTAACTCCTGAGCCATGTCTCCAGCCCCTAGTTAGCCCTCTTTAGCTGTGTTTCCTACACAAAGCTGCAGCTCAGTCTTATGCCCTGATATCTCACACAGTGTTTCATTCCACATTCCAGAAGCTGGCCCAGAGCTCTTTTGTCCTCAAAAGCATTCGCTGGAGGAGGACTGGTATTCAGTTCCTGCAGGCCCGGATTTAAAGTTCTCAGCTGGCTCACAGGCATTCAGCTAAATCATGGCCTCCAACAAGCAGGCATTTTTGTCATCCTGGCTGTTAATCCAGTGTTCCCCACTGTGCCATGAACAACTGTAACAGCTGTAACATTGTAACATCTGATAAACAGTGCCAGCAAAGCAGAGAGAGGTCAGCAACCCTGGGAGGGGTTCCAATGGAAACGGATCCTCCTTACCCCCTACTTCAGTTACAGAGCTGTCTACAGCCCTTCAGAGCAAGTGGATGTCTTAGCCCACATGAGAAGCTATAACAAACGATTGTAGGCTGTGTGGCTTACAAACAACAGAAACACAGTATTCACGGTTCTAGAGGTCAGAAGTCCAATACCAAAGTGTCATAGATTTGGTGTCAGGGAGAACTCACTGTCCGTTCCTGATTCACAGGGGGCACTGTCTCACTCTCCTCTCACACACACAGTTCCAGGTACTGAGCAGCTCTCTGTGGTCTTTTTTATATGGAGTATTAATTCTATTCATGAGAGCCCCCTTTTATGACTTAGCCACCTCCCAAAAGGCCTACCTCCAACTAGTCACACATTAGGGATAAGGTTTAAACATATGAATTGTAGGGAAAAGGGAGGCATAAATTTTCAATGTATGGCAGAAGTTTTAATTTTTCAGTCCCAATTTATTGCTGATACCCAAAGGGACTTGCTTTGAAATGTTTTTAGTGTTCAAAACCCACTAGAAGTTTAAGAACGTTTAAAGTGATCATTGCTGTCTCTAACCTACATCTGTGTGCAGTTAGGGAATGAGTGTAACATTTTTTTAGTCCATGAGTAATACATAAAGTGTCATTCCACAGACAGAATATTTGTAGTCAAGACCAAGTGAGAGAGAAGGATCCAGAATGACAAGGAAGAGAAGAATATCCATTCTTCCCAAGCAAAGTCACTGACAGAGCAAGGTACTATTTGTGACTATTTTAAAAACCACTGCAATCAAAAATCGTTTTTAAAACCTTCATCTGACATTTTCCCTGTCATTATTCCCAAAATAACACACTGTAACAATTGTTTCCTAGAGGCCATACACACGCACGCATGTGCTCTCTCTCTCTCTCTCTCTCTCTCTCTCTCTCTCTCTCTCTCTCTTTCTCTCTCTCTCTCGTACACACACACACACACACATACATATACATATATATGTATATACATATATATGAGAAGATATGCCTAAATTATGGGCAAACACAGTGTATATAAGGGACTTGAGAATCCAGGGGTTTGGGTATCTCTGAGAGTTTCTGAAACCATCACCCCTCAAATTCCAAGGTACAACTGTTTTTTTTTTCAAGTTTTAAATTTATTTATCTCATTTTATTTTCTGTATGTGGGAGTTTTACTGCATGTATGTATGTTACCACCTGAGTGCCTGATGCCCATGGAGGTCAGAAGAGGAGGTTAGATCCCTGTTACTAGAGTTATAGCTGGTTATAAATCACCATGTGGGTATTGGGACCCGAACCCTGGTCCTCTGCAGGATCAGGAATTACCTTAACAGTTGAGTCACCATCTCTCCAGCCTGTTTTCTATGAGAAGTTTTACACTCTGAGGTCTTGCTGTCACATACTACTTTGTCTCATGTTTCTTTATTAATAACCATGATGCAAACGTTTGGCTTTGAAAATTGCTGGA